ATATATATATATATTAATTTGACTACATCACTAATCACCATGGAACAGCTTTTCCCAAAATAAAGAAACCACCACTTTTCACAAAAAATTATATACATGACTTGTCTCTTTTTTTTTATCCTTAGTTAATTATTATTTTAAAGAAAAATACAAGGAAATATTTTCAAGTTAATTATATAATTTTAAAAAATTATTATTCACTAAACTTATTTTAAATGACCAATTTAATGCATATTAATTTTATTTAATAATTTTGTTGTATGTTAAGAATTAATTTAATCTAGGAAATTTTTTGCTTTATGTTTTTATTTTATTTTATCCGTATAATATAGTAATTCAAATTTTATTTACTACAAATAAACCAATGAATAATTAAAACAATGGATCGATGTTATGCAACTTATTGGATATTTTATCAATTCAATAAATTAAGTCAGGTTGTTTTACATAAAATAAATTAAATAATGAAATTGAAGTTTTAATATAGAAATATTGCAAAAACAATATAATAAATATAAATTTAAATGTAATATTATAAAAAAAATTAATTTCATTTGACGGGGAAGAAAAAATATTAAACTAAATTTAAAAATAGTTGTTGCATATTATCTTTTGCTTAATATTATTTTCTTTATGAATGAACTTTTTCCGAGGGTTTGGAGCCATTGAGTATATTTTAGAAAGTTCTAAACATTTCATCAAAATATATATAGTGTTTACATGATGATTATTTTTTACAGCATATGATGAAAGAGGTATACGATATTCTTAAGCATGATCCTGATGTCGAAAAATTCAGATGGTTATTATTAGACGCATGTTGTATTCATTGTGAAAAAATATAGTGAATGAAAGTCCTATATATTTGCCTTTGTCCCTAATCTTGGTAAAGATTAGTTGTATTTACACGATTATTTTTTTGACAAATGATGAAAAAGGTATAAGATCTTCTTATGCCTCATTCTGATGTTGAAAAATTGAGACGGTTATTATTAGATGCGTCTTGTATTCATCGTGAAAAAATATAGGTCATGAAAGCCCTATATATTTGTCCCTTATATCGGTAAAACTTGGTTGTATTTACATGATGATTATTTTTTTCGACAAATGATGAAAGAGGTATACGATATTCTTATGCCTCATCGTGATGTCGAAAAATTAAGACAATTATTATTAGATGCATGTTGTATTCATCGTGAAAAAATATAGGGGATGAAAGTCCTTTATATTTGCCTTCGTCCCTCATCTCGATAAAACTTGGTTGTATTTACATGATGATTATTTTTTTTGACAAATGATGAAAGAGATATACGATCTTCTTATGCCTCATCCTGATATCGAAAAATTGAGTCAGTTTTTATTAGATGCATGTTGTATTCATAATTGAAAAATATATTTTCAAGATGATTATTTTTATCGACAAATGATGAAAGAGGTATACGTTATACTTATGCCTGATCCTGATGTCGAAAAATTGAGACGGTTATTATTAGATGCATGTTGTATTCATCGTGAAAAAATATATGGCATGAAAGTCTTATATATTGTCTTTGTCCCTCATCACGGTAAAAATTAGTTGTGTTTACATGATGATTATTTTTTTCGACAAATGATGAAAGAGGTATACGATCTTGTTATGCCTAATCCTCTTGTCGAAAAATAGAGACGGTTATTATTAGATGCATGTTGTATTCATCGTGAAAAAATATAGGTCATAAAAGTCTTATATAATGCCTTTGTCCCTCATCTCGGTAAAACTTGGTTGTATTTACATGATGATTATTGTTTTCGACAAATGATGAAAGAAGTGTAGGATTTTCTTAGACCTCATCTTGATGTCGAAAAATTGAGATGATTATTATTAGATGCATGTTATCTTCATCGTGAAAAAATATAGGTCACAATAGTCCTATATATTGCCTTTGTCCCTCATCTCGGTAAAACTTGGTTGTATTTACAAGATTATTTTTTTCGACAAATGATGAGAGAGGTGTAAGATCTTTTTATGTCTTATCTTGTTGTCGAAAAATTAAGACGGTTATTATTAGATGCATATTGTATTCATCATGAAAAAACATAGGGCATGAAAGTCCTATATATTTGTCTGTCCCTCAGCTCGATAAAAATTGGTTGTATTTACATGATTATTTTTTCGATGAATGATGAAAGATGTATACGATCTTCTTATGCCTGATCCTGATGTCGAAAAATTGAGAGGGTTATTGTTAGATGCATGTTTTATTCATCGTGAAAAAATATAGGGCTTGAAAGTCATATATATTGCCTTTGTCCCTCATCTCGGTAAAAATTAGTTGTGTTTACATGATGATTATTTTTTTCGACAAATGATGAAATAGGTATACGATCTTCTTATACCTAACTAGTTTTTATTCTTTTAACATCAGTACGTAGTACCTTTATGCGTGAGAGCAAGAGCATACTACATTTCTTTAGTTGATTTGCACACAAAGACTTTATTTTGTTTAAATTGGATAAAGCACAAGTGATGAGAACCAATTGATCTATCTACCTCGACATTAATTGCATGCTCTTCGTTCGTGTGTATGAACCAATTCATATTCTGTCAGAGTTAACTTTAAGAGCCTTGCACTCATCAACTATTCCTCAAATAGTTTCTCCACTCATCTTCCATCTATGTATTAATTTTTGTCTCAAAAATTACATGGCTACTTTGTCACTACTATATATTACCCATTTAACAATCTATCTCACCATTTAGAAGTGAATTTTAATGTAAAAACTATTTAAAGTAGTAATAATTTATTATAAAAATATTATTAATTAAATTATCATAAATGATTTTGTTTAATATTTTTCTAATGACAGTAAAGCACATATTTAATCTTTTAAGAGTCATTATTAATATTAAATGAAATTTAATTGATTTCAATTGTAAAAATCAATTAATTAATAATATATAATATGATTAAGTTAGTCATCGTCTTTTTTTTTTATTCGAAAGTTAGTCATGATCTAAATTATCATTCATCTATTTGTTAGTAAATATAAAATATAT